TCCATATTTTGGGTTTGGTTAACGAATTTTAGCTCCAAAGTCTCTAAGAAAAAGTTGGTTTTGTTCCTTGAGGAAAAATCGTGTTGACCAGTGTTATTATCCGATCTAATTCAGATTCGGCAATCTGGTAGATATGGGCATTATCTACGATACTGCGTTTTTAGTTTTATCGTATCTTTAAAAATGTGCTGCCACAGATTTTCGTCATTTGTGTTGGCGGAAGGGGGCGGGGCGAAATTTTGAAATACACTTGTAGCAGTGTGATATCACATGAGTCTGGAAACCAAATACGGTTGCCCTAGCTCTTATAGTCTCTGAGATTTAGGCGCTCAACAAGACGGACAGACAGACAGACAGACATGTCTATATCGACTCGGCTATTGATGCTGATCAAGAATATATATACTTTATGGGGTCGGAAACGTTTCCTTCTCTGCGTTACACACATCCACTTTTACCACAGATCTAATATACCCCTTAACTCTTTTTTGAGTACGGGTATAAAAAAACCAATTTTGGTTCAAGCGGCCAAAAATTGTAGAACCCTCACAAGCACAGCATGGCACACACACATTTACTTAACCTGAAATCTCATGAAAAAAACGTTTTCGGCAGCTAAAAAAATGTTCTATGCATGCAATCATATAATTTGGAGCCAGAGCCGAAGACCTGGGACCGTACGCTGAAACCTCGCTGCGCCACTTACGTTTTATGATCTGGCACATCTATATACTGTATAGTTAGTCGTTTAGCTCTAATATTCCTTGAATATTAGTCTAACCCCTATCTTTCCTGCATGTTAGCGATCGGTTCGGTAGCACGTGTGGCGCGTCATGCGGCAGCGCCCCTCGGTTGGGCGGGAGAAAGGGCTACGTTTCTGCCTGGGTTCCGCGCCTAACAGGCTCCGGCTTGGTGTCGAATGGGCCACTTTATGGTGTAGTCATTGCATATCAACGTCCAAACAAGTTCTCTTATAGATTTCTCTTGTAGAAATGTCAAAATAAAACGGATTTATAAAATTGTTTTACTTTTATGCCCTTTTTGTGCATTCCTGGCGCCGACAAAATTGGTTTCGTTATCTGACCAAATTTGTCGCGGCTTTCGTCTGGTGCAGAAAAGAGACTGTAGATAAATCCTGGATCATGTGCTTGTAGAAAAACGGGCCACAAAAGTCGACGCCAGTGTTCTCAAGCCGCTCCTTCGGAAGATACGCCATGATGTGCTCCAATATTCTATGCTTGGTTCGAAAGCATCTTACGCACTTGTTTACTGCCTTCGTTACCGTCTTCCTCCCTCAATAGGCCAATAGGCTAAGAAATTGTTCTAATTACGGCAAAGGTATGTTAGTATTTGTGATTTAAGAAGAGGAAGGGAATTAATGGTGGATATTATATGGTAGAGGGACTTGAAGTCCGAGCATAGGACCCTAAATGGTTCGTGCAATGAATAATTTGATCTACAAAGCGGAAACAACTAAGGAATAATGTTTCGAGTAGATCTAATAGGAATCGTAAAGTTTAAGCGGTTCACCAAGTCAGGACTATCTACGTCACCCTAGATCAGGTTGTGCATAAAAATCACACCAAGCATTTTTCTATGACTAACTAAGGTTGGAAGGTTTATTAAAAGCAATCTACGAGGGTAAGATGGCAGTCTCACACCTGCATCCCAGTTAAGGCCATGCAGAACAGAAAGTAAAAAGTTTTTTTGGACTGATTTTATACGGTCCTGGTGTACTTTGTACTGGGGGCACAATACACAAGAGCCGCACTATAAAATCGGCCGAAAAAAGCGAAATATAGAGATTCTTCGTTATATAGTGGTTGTCAAATTCCTTTGACCACCTCTTTATAAATTCAAGCACTCCCATGGCCTTATTCACAATGGTAGATATGTGTTCAGAAAACTTCAACTTGGAGTCTAGTTCAACGCCAAGATCATCCACCAAGGTAATTCTCTCAAGAAAACCGCAATGCTGTAAGGAGCCAACAAGGGGCTGGAGCGATGAAATGTCATTACTTTGCATTTCGAGGCATTTGCACAATACCATGACTGGTATTGTCCTTATACTGGACGCAAAGTTTGACATCATCCGCATACATGAGTACTCGAGAGTTTGTTAAGACTAAAGGCAGATCATTAAGAAAGAGTGTGAATAGTAGGGGCCTAGATGGCTGCCCTGTGGTACTCCAGAAGTAACCTTAACAGGTGAAAATAAGGAGTTTTTGAAGAGGACTCTTTGAGACCTAGAACGAAGGTAGCTAGAAATCCATCTCAAAAGATAAGGCGGAAACCCTGAAAGGTCAAGTTTTTGTACTAGAAGGGAATGGTTTACAGAATCGTATGCTTTACTGAAATCAGTGTAAATAACATCCGTTGCCTTGGAAACCTTTAAGTTCAAAACAAATAGCAATCAGACCAATCAGAGCAAATGCTTAAAGCGAAATCGGAAAAACTGGATCGAGAGAGAAGAGTGGTTGAAGCAACAGCTTATAACTGAGAGCGCAGAAAGAGCGAGAGCAAAGCAAAATTGAGATTTAGGTGATAGAAAGAGTGTGATAGACAAATAGCAATCAGAACAATGTGCAGAGCAAATGATTAAAGCAATGCTTAAAGCGAAATCGGAAAAGCTGAGAGGAGAGTGGTTGCAGCAACAGCTTATAAGTGAGAGCGTTACTGCACAGAAAGTTACGAGAGCGAGAGAGAGAGTGATAGACGGCAATAGCTACGACGAAGAGCGGCTAACTGTAATGAGAGAGCTTTTCATTCGTAGATAAATCCATCATCTTTTAGTAGTTTTCGAATTTGGGGGCCATCTTTAACTTTTGCCAGCGACAGACGTGGAAAAACGTGGAAAAACATCGACTATCCTTCCTTATCCAGTGCTTTAACAAAATTTTCTAGTCCCAGCTTAATGTGTAATGGTGGTAAAATAACGTCTTTAAACTTCACGAGAGCTGCATTTTGTATGTTGTAATTTTCCAATGTATTTTTCTCCCGTTTTGGGAAGCAGCAGTGTTTTGTGTAACCACCTTGCAATCCCGTTAAAGTGGCTACGACTTTTAAGTCACACGCGACCTTCCTCTGGTGTTCTTTTTATTTTATATTTTCAAGCAATTTAGCAATTGCTTGATATGTTTCCTTCATATTAACAGCATGTGCGATGGGAACAGACGGCTTTTGGTTTCCATTTTGTAACAAAACAGCCTTTAAACTTTCCTTACTGTTGTCAACAAATAACCTCCAATAGTTTGGGTCGTAAGCTTCACTCAATTGCTTGAAGAGTCCGAAAATGTCGTGGCAAACGCACATGTCATCCTTCGTCATATAAAATTGTGCGTGAACCAAATGACGCGTCCGGAATTGAGTTATTTTGACATTTTCCTTCAATAAAAACATCCAAGAAGCTCGGCTTTACTTTTAGGAAGATCCAGGATTCTCACCAAATCGTGTGAAAGAGGCTTGCAATATTTATATTCTTCTGATTGGTCCTTCAATGTCTGGTTTTCTCCATAGCATTGGAGTAAAAGTAACTGTCCTTTTTGTTTCCTGTAATCACATTTTGGCAGTTGCACCAGCAACGTACCGGATGGTATTTTTTCAGGTAAAATGAGTTTTGAGTCGTTTTGGTCAAACGGCTGAAACTTGGCAGTTTATCCATCGATTCGTACGCCTTATTAACGCGTCTATCTAAAATCACAAATTTATGCCAAGAAATATTTTTTTGCGACTTTTCCTGAGTTGTTAAAGTCAAAATTTCGGAAAAAAAATACCACAAAAAAATTATGTAATTTGATTGTGAAAGCTTAATATCTTCCAGGCGTTAAGTTTCAGCTAAAAATTGTCTGGGTCTGATTTATGGCTGCATTTGTCAGCAAAGTTATATACAACCAGATATAAATGAAAAATAGAAGCACTGCCTCTGAAAAAAAAACATAAAAAAATAACAGATTTTAAAAATTCTTAAAAAAAAATTAAACCATAAAAAAAAAATAAAGTACTAAACAAATTTTAGAATCCCAAAATCTTTCAGAAAAAGTCATTTTGATACACAGCGGAAAGAAAAAGTTCAATTTTGTTGAGTATTGTAATAAGCATAGCTCGCAAAAAACGGTCAACACTTTCAGGGTGTCTGAAAAAACCTCTCATTTACGGACACATTGCGAATTGAGCCAGAAAAGACACGATCAGATCTGTCTTTGCAATTCTGTTTTGTTACTGTTTTTCACACTTTTTACAGACACTTTTTGCTCTGCTCATCTACAGACACTTTTTCTGCGAGTGCTTGATCAAATGTTCCTCTTTAAGTTGTTATTGTGAGACACGAGCGTGTCTCGGCTCAACCCGAAGACAACAGATAACACTAGCGAAGAGACCAAAAGTGTTCTATTCAGAGCGGGAGCGAGTGTCCGTGGTGTTTTTCTGTTGATCAGCATTATTCTTGATCAGCATCAATAGTCGAGTCGATATAGCCATGTCCGTCCATCTGTCCGTCTCGATGAGCGCCTAGATCTCAGAGACTATAGGAGCTAGAGAAACCAAATTTTGTTTCCAGACTCATGTGATATCACACTGCTACAAGTGTATTTCAAAATTTCGCCCCGTCCCCACAAAGGACGAAAATCTGTGGCAGGCAAAATTTAAAAGACACAAAAAACTAGAACGCAGTATCGAGAGAATGCCCATATCTACCAGATTGCCGAATCTGAATCAGATGGGAGCCAGAATGAAGAAATTAATTTTATGTTGGTTCCCCCGCCAGCCAGCAACAGACCCGCTACTCATTTTCTTTCTCGCTCGCACACTCTGCCGCGTTCAGTGCGTGAGAAACCCCTAGCGGGGATGACGTAAATGGTACATGTACAATCTACATTTTAGATGTAGATTGTACATTGTAGATGTATAAGTATAAGTAGAGTCGCGTCCTCAGAAGCGACTCACACGTTCCTTCTCGTTTATAATTGCTTAAAAAATATATAATATCGATATTTTTTCTTAAGATTGACAAATTTGAGTGCGTTGAATACACGTCATGGCCATAAAAGTTACACCAAATCCAACAAAAAGAGTCAGCAAAATGTATTTCAAAGGCGTATGCTTAAAAAGGACCTTTGCTTTGGAGAATACATGGACCAATATGAAAGTGATACTATAATTGAAGTGAGTATACTCGATGTCAACCATCGCCTAGAAAATATTTGCGACTCAAAAATAATACAATATTTTTCCTTCTAGAATGAAGATAATTTAACCGAGGTACAGTTTCTATCGCGTTATAACGAACAAATCAAATTTCAACTGTTAAATGATTCAAGTAGTGAATCAGGATTGTCAAATAAAAGTAGCTACGATCATTTAAAGGAAATTTTTTCAGAAGGAAGTGATACCATAACTAATACTGTTGACAAGTTTTTGCGAAATTTTAATTCTGATAACATAGTTCAATATCAAGAGGAAACAGCCAAAGCTCTTTTTCTTGACAAAGAAATTCAACTTAAGGAGAACTGCCTACATCATAACGCTGACGTTTTTGTCGAAGAAGATGATTTAAAAATCTCAAACATTAAGTCAATAGATACATTGACAGAAGCGGGAAAGCATAGTAAACATGAAGAAATCGTGCTAAGCTCGGAGAGTGATTTTTCAGATGTTGAAACTGATCTTCAAAAATCAAGATTGATAAAACCAATGCTTCGAATTGATCAACTTGCCAATGAAACGAGAGCTGCACAAAAAACCGAAAGTGAACGGGTTCGACGGCTTGAAAAGAAACATTTGGAGCTTTGCAAAGCAATTAAAAATAACTTTGAATGTATAAATAAGTCAGAGCTAATACTTGATTACATCGAAAGCACTAATACATTCATTAAAATGAATAGTGATATAGTCAAACAATTAAAGCCTCACCAAATTGATGGTGTTAAATTTATGTACGATTCCTGTTATGGCGGGGTGGATCAGGCCAAACGAAATTCTGGATCAGGATGCATTTTGGCTCATTGTATGGGTCTGGGAAAGACTCTTCAGGTAAAAATATCGCTACAAAAACAAAAATTTAATACAAGTAATATTTTTATTTTTAGTTGATCGCTTTACTACACACCGTGATATCTTACAAGGAACTAAACACGACAAAGGTCTTGGTACTCTGTCCAAAAAGCACGGTCATGAATTGGGCTGACGAATTTCAATATTGGCTGAGTCCTTTAAATATAAAAAGTCATTTAAAGGTTTTCATATTTCCTGATTCATCGTAAGTTTGATTTTATGATATTATGATGTAAGAATATGTATGTAATTACATATGTACAGTTGGGTTCAATGAAATTGTACTGCCGCACCTCACTACTTTCAAAACTCTTTTTGAGATATTTATAGTCTTTTAATTAAAACAATGATACCTTTACGGAAAACCTGGAATTTCATCTTTGCATTCCATCTTCTTGTTTTTTATGTCTTTAGACAACTACATATACATGCTGTTCAATGAAATAGTAGTGCTGGGTTAAATTCATTTTTCAAAATGAAAAAAACAAAGCAAATTAATTTAAATGAGCCTCCATCCATAAGCTTAATTTGGATAAGCTCAATTTGGATATCGAATAATTTGATGAAGGAAAGTTTTGGACATAGCGGTACTTTTGATTTTGGAGTGTTGCAGAAATCATTGCTCGGCCCAGAAGAGGATACCTAAGAGTTAGACTAAAAACTGAAGGCAGGAGGTATAATGGAATTGAAAACTAAGTTTGATGCACTCTCACTATTGAATTTAACCCAATAAACTATAAGAATTAGACTGAAAAAATTAATTTTGTATGCGAAAATCTTATTTTTTAGAGGATGGTCGGCGATGGTATAAGGCAAGACAGGCCTTTAATATCCTCAAAAATTATGAAAAGATTTTTAAATCGCTCTGTTAGTGATGTGACAGTTCGTAGATGGTTGATTACACATTATTTGAATGCAAGAAGTCCCAGAAAGCTCCGCGTTTGGATCTGAGAGTACATAGGTGCACGACTTCAGTTTGGAAAAACGCATGTGGAATGGCCTGTGTCACAGTGACAAAAATGCTTTTGACTGATGATAGTAAAGTTGTACTATTTGGTAAAATAGACTGAAAAGATTATGTTTGGCCACTAACCATACAGTATATAGATGTGCCAGTTCATGTCAGTTCATGTGCGGGTCTGAAGCCAAAAGCAGAGGCAAAGGCTAGCCTTAAAGAGAATGGAAGAAATACCCCGCGCGCCCGACGCAACATAAGCTTTTCAAAACAAAACGAAAAAAATATTTTATGAACCGCTTCGTCAATGCCTCAACCCGCGTCGAGTCGAGCGACAGAATACACCAAGAAAATATTAAGTCTTACGACGGGAATAGGTCCAGGGCCGGATTAGCAGTTGCCTAAGGCCTCCTAGGGATAAAGAAAAATTTTGTTGAAAAAACAAAACTCCAAATAATGAATAAAAAATATAATAGCCACTGAGAAAAACACAAAATAAAGGAGGGCCCCAGATTGATGGTTGCCCAGGGCCCGGTTGAGGGTTGATCCGGCCCTGAATAGGTCGCTACATCACATCAGCCCTCAAAACAAAACGAAAAACCAATTCAAGCGGCCAACAATTGTAGAGCCCACACACAAGCACAGTATGTGTGAATACATGGCACACATACGTTTACGTAAACTGAAATCTCGAACAAAGTCGGTTTCGGCAGCTAAAAATTATTCTATGCATACAATCATATATTTTGGAGTGTACACGTACACAACACATGCATGCTTGCTGCCAGTCGGCTAGTGTGCCGTCATGAGCCGATCGCGGCCATTCCCAGAGCCGAACGCGGCCATTTCCAAAGCCGAAGATCTGGGAACGTTCGCTGCAAGCTCAGCTGCGCCCCTTTCGTTGTATGAACTGGCACATCTATATACTGTATGGTTAGTGGTTTGGCGTTCACAGAAATCCGATTACCACCTAAAATCATGAAAAAAATAGGATTGGATATGCTAGGCTGAGCCTTATCGGACCCAGCTTATATGAGCTATATAGTACTTTCTAGCCTGGCGTTTAAGTGTAGTATGGTATTCAGCGAAACTGTGTGTGTAGGCATACTTACGAATACATTAAATTCATATCACAGTTGAAAAATGCCCGTTAAAAGGATATTTTAACCGGATAATGACTTGAAACACCCAGAAAAACTCGCTAGGAATTGATTTTGATCGGAAAAGAGAAACGTTTTGCCATGTCCAACTGGACATGTTTTTATTTGAGTTTCGTTTTTATACCCGTACTCAAAAAAGAGTTAAGGGATATATTAGATTTGTGGTAAAAGTGGATGTGTGCAACGCAGAGAAGGAAACGTTTCTGCCCCCATAAAGTATATATATTCTTGATCAGCATCATTAGCCGAGTCAATATAGCCATGTCCGTCTGTCCGTCCGTCTATCCGTCCGTCCGTCTGTCCGTCTGTCTGTCTTGATGAGCGCCTAGATCTGAGAGACTATAAGAGCTAGAGAAACCAAATTTGGTTTCCAGACTCATGTGATATCACACTGCTACAAGTGTATTTCAAAATTTTGCCCCGCCCCCATCCGCCCCCACAAAGGACGAAAATCTGTGGCAGGCACATTTTTAAAGATACGATAAAACTAAAAACGCAGTATCGTAGAGAATGCCCATATCTACCAAACTGCCGAATCTGAATTAGATCGGAATATACTTATAGCCAGAATGAAGAAATTAATTTTCTGTTGGTTCCCTCTCCTTCTCCAGCGCTGCTGACACTACTGATTCTCTTTCTCGCTCGCACACTCTGCCGCGTTCAGTGCGGGAGCAACCCCTAGCGGAGGAGATGTAGAATCTAAATGGTACATGTACAATCTACATGTTAGATGTAGAATATACATTGTAGATGTAGACAACAGATGTAGCAAAAAAATGTAAAATGTAACATTTTTTTTTTTTAATTTTTCAATTCTAAAAAAGTAGGGTCGCGTCCCCAGAAGCGACTCACGTTCCATATCGTTCTACCTTCCTTTGAGAAGGTTTTTCATTGATTGACATGTCCAGACAAGGTGCCAAGTTGTATTTTAAAACGCAGGCGCAGTCCTTATGCCAACCCTTGACCTTTATTTTCAATTTATCATTGGAACTGTCTTGTCTCCCAGTGATTTGGAACGAATCCTACATCATTCCGCTTCAAAAAAAGGGTCCAAGATCTCACATTTAGAACTACCAAGGTATTGAAAAGCTTTCCGACATCCCGAAGCTGCTTGAGTTCCGGGTTACCGGGCAATTGCAACACCTATGCAGTAGTCTGATATCTCCATCGCAACACGGTTTTTTTAAACATCGATCAACATCGAAGGTTTGTCGAGTTCTCTTCTGCAATTAACCGAGGATCTTGTCATATCTGTCAAACCGCACACAACGCGTTTTGTTTACTAATGTGTTGTCGAATGTCGTTTATGCTAAATCAGGAGTGCCTCAAGGTATTCCTTTGGGCCCACTTGTTTATTTTGTTTTTGAATGACTTCTCTCAAGTTATAACATACTCTTCTACACTAATGTCAGTGACAGGTTATGTTAGCGATGTAGAAGCCGAACAACTCAAAAGAGCAAAAAGGGCTTTTAAACATAGGAAATGGATTATTCAAAGAGCATGTACAAAAAATCTCTGGAAAATGTGGGGATATATTTTTTTAATTTCAAGTTAAAGGTGAAAAACGTCCAAAAAGGAGGTCAATATACCTGTTAAGAGGAGGATACCAAATGTATCAGAATTGTATGCCTTAATTATAATAATCTTTATCATACTCTATCCCCTGAATCATCCCTTAAAATTATAGCCAGTAAGATATACAATTTCAATCATAATTAATCTACAGTTATTCACACTCATTTATATTAGCAGACAGTTATTAATCTTCAATAAAAACGAGAAGGAACGTGCGAGTCGCTTCTGGGGACGCGACTCTACTTATACCCGTACTCAGTCAGTATATTTAACATTTTTTTTGTTTTGTATTTAATCGCTGCCGCGAAATTGTATGGTCGCACGACGATGAGTCCGCATTGACCAGGTACTTCAGTTCGATGATGGGGCTGTCGATATTTTCTTGTCTATCGATGGTTGTTAATGAGACCATGCATGGTGTTGCATTGGTATATTCTTATAATTTAAACAATATGATGCTTAGTTTAAAGTGTGGACGTGTGTAAGAGTTTAACAAAATAGTAGTGAAATGGATTGATGTGTATGTGAAGGTGTAGATGTGTAAGGCAACAGAAGGTTGCCTCAGAAAGTAGGAACAACAGAAGGTTGCTCCTCAAGGTGACTTCCGTTGGCACCGCGTTAACCTGAATAAAGTCCAGTGTGTTTCGATTCACAACTCCAAATTAGCCTCATTAATAAATTTGGCCAATTCTCTAAAAAAAAGAGGCTCCTTTGTGAGCAATAGATCCTTAAGATCTTTAAAGCGATGAAAAATTTTATATTTTTTCCTGATAGTAGCATGTCGTTGGCAGGAGAAGATTTCATGTTCCGCATTGTCGAGAACGTTGCAAACTTCGCAAATGTTGGTGTTTCTGGCTTTGATTTTGTGTAAAAAAAACGTTATCATAGGTTCGATTAATTAACAGTCTATTTATGACCTTTATGTTTTTTGCACTCCAGTCGAGAGCCCAATGCCATGGTTTGACTGGAATTTCATTGTAAATTGACGCAAAATAAATTCCTTTGGTTTTTGATATTTCCTTGTACTCATTGTTCCAATCCGTCTGAACTTTTATTTTAACTTTTCTTATTACTTCATCGAATGTTAGGGGTAGATTAAATAGTTTGCCTACATTAGTGGCTGATTTGGCTAGTATATCAGTCTTTTCATTAATGGCAATGTTCTTGTGACCGGGTATCCAGTGCACAATAAAGTTGCTCGTGAAGGAATTGTCCATGTTGAGATGGATTTCGTCTGTCAAGTATGAATTTGATTCATTTCTCTTCAGAGCCTTTAAGGCGCCTTGACTATCGCAGAGAATTATAGTTTTACTGTGTCTTTTTATATTTGATATCTTAACTGCCGTTAATATACCTACAAGCTCTGCAAACACAGATGAGGAACTATTTTCAGTCCTAAACATATAGCTTAAGTTACTAGGGTAATCTAAGATACCTATGCCTGTCTTATCACCATTGATGGATGCATCAGTGGAAAGAATGTTCCATCCACCTGAGACCCATTCTTCAAGCTTAGCTTGATATATCGCATTGCATTCTTCGTTTGATATGTCAGTTTTTTTCCTGTCAAAGACTGACAGACAAATTAAGGCTTTGGGACTATGTTTGTACTTCTTGGCTTCATTATAATTGTCGAAAAGATCACTATATTCTTGGTACACAGCTGTGTAGGCAGTCTTTGCAGTGGATTTAATAACATCATTTTACAAGGTCGGGTTTAGAGACTTTACTTTCAGTAGTTCTCTGACTGTGAGAATTTTAGCTCTGTGTTTGGGAGGTAAAGAGCAAAAATCAGATGCGTAGATGTTTTGGGAGGCACACCCCCGCAACGGCGAAGACAGTCCGTCTGTGCAGTGTTAAGAGACTTGCTGTTGCTAATGTTTAGATTCGAAAAACTAGTAATGGCATGTTCCTGCTGAGATCTGGTGAAGGATTTGAAGATGTTGGACGAAACCTTGGGTTTGAGTCCAGCTTTGATGGTAGTTACAGCATGCAACAAAAGCTCACTTTTGTCTGATTTGTCCCTGATTTTTGCAATGTGCAATTTGTCTGACAGGCACTGATGACCCTGCCTAAGAAGGTAATTGACTCCTTTATTGGGAAAGTGATATTATTGCATGTAACTGCGATGTTATCACGTCTTCCCCTACTGCGAAACATAACTGAGGATTTGCTGGGGTTGAAATTAAGGCCTAGATCTTGACTTAGAAGGTGAAAGTCGTTGATCTTTACCTGTAAGTTTTTGATAGAATCATTTATGTTGTTGCCTGTTGAGATGATGGCAAAGTCATCAGCAAATTGAATAATGGACATATGTGAATCATTGATTTGATGCAGTCTTTTGGTGTACAGATTGAAAAGTAGAGGTGAGAGACAGGAGCCTTGAGGCAACACACCATTGATTTCTTTACTGAAGTTACCCAGTTTTAGGAATCTAGACGAAAAGAAATTGACAATCCAGTCAGTATATTGCGTGGGAATGTGTTCATAATCCATTAGCATTTGTAGAGTTTGAAGATTAACGCAGTTATATGCATTATCAATGTCTACTACTACAATTGCAACGAATTTTCCCCTTTTCTTCTCTCAGGCCATGGTATTGATAAGATCATTTATGCACATGGCTGCTGATTTACCCTTTCGATAGGCATAAGATCGTCTGGGCATGGTGTTACGTTTATCTAAGAACATATCTAGGCGACTCTTGATCATAAGATTGAGAGTTTTAGCCAATACCGAGATGAGGAAGATAGGTCGATAGTTTTGATAGATATGGAGATCCTTACCCCTCTTTGGGATGGGAATGACTTTGATTGTACGCCATTGATCAGGGACTCTACATTCTGTAAATAACCTGTTGTATTCTTGTAAAAGATTATTCAGTGCTGGGCTTCTGAGGGCTCTTATCATGTCATATGTAATTCTATCTATTCCTCCCGCAGTGTTTCTGCCCCTATTGAGAACAGCAGACAGGTCACTTACGTTAAAGGGATTGATGTTGAGTGAAGCTGGCCTGACAGAGAAGGTATGAACTTTTGCCAACACAGAGACTTAGCTTTTAAGAAACTCAAGGTAAGGCAAGGACCATTCTGCATAAAAGCTGGAATTTACGGGATCATTAAAGGACTTAATGTTTCTCAAGAAAAGCCAGGCTTTCCTTGAGTTTGGCTTTTGATTAAGTACATCTATCTTGCGGGCGTAAGCGTTTCTTTTCGCAAGTATTACTGCCTTCTTCCATTCTACTCTCAGGTTAACCGCTTTTATGTAGCTTGTCAGACTTGGAGCTCTTTGTGCCTGGATCTGTGCTTCGGTATATTTAGAGTACAACAGTTGCAATTCTGGATTCCACCAAGTCTTGGGGCATCTATTGTTGCTCAAGGAGTAGGTGGAGGCCCTAATGTTGTTTGTGAAGCTTTCTGTGATGTTTGAAATGTCTCCTGATGGCGTAGCACCTGTTAGCCTTCGAAACAGTCTATTCTTAGCAAGAAAGTACTTGGGCTTCTCTTTGCATCCGGAATTTCTATGGAAATAGGATGATGGTGACTGCCTCCAACAAAAATTGAATTGCAGCTCCAGGTGACATTATCGCTGCAGTTTGAAAAGGTCAAATCCAACACTGAGCCACTTTGACTGTCGATGTGACGTCTAAAGGTGCACTTTCCATCGTTCAAACAATTATAACCGGAGTTACTCATGTAGTTCTCTAGGAATCTACCTTGGCATTGGTGACATTGTCACCAAAGCAAGTGTTTCTGGCGTTAAAATCCCCAGCAAAAATCACATTGCTCCTGCCGTCCAGTTTTTCAACTATGGTTTAAATAGCATCTTGAAAGGTGTTGGTCTTCATGAAGGGTTCAAAGTAGACAATGGTGATATTTTTATTGAGGTTTGATGTCTTGGCGATGATAACATCGTGCTCTGAACTAAAGGCTTCCTTTTTAAGCTTAATGCCTTTTTTAACAGCAATGGCTACACCTCCGTAGCCATCATCTCTATGTTTTTCCAATAGATCGTAGTTGATTAGATTTCTGTATGACATATCGTGGGAGAAAACTTCTGAGAAGATGGCTATGCCATATCCACCAGAGTTAAGGGTGTATTCTATGTAATTTTTGTTGTTTTTGAGTGATTGTACATTAAGCTGTAAAATCTTAATGGACATATTAGTGGATGAGGTTTGTATTGTTACCAACATCATGTTTTCTATGTTTCGAACTGCTCTGTAGGAATTTTCCTTTGATGTTTTGAATTATTTTAGTTCCGTTTGCTGACTTAAGCAGTGTGGGAGTGACTAATTCAAGAATTTCCTGAACTATGCTGCTACTGACACTGCTAATAGTGTCATGATTTTCCTTTCTTGGGAATTCATATGTATGATCACTAGAGTCATTTGTGTATGACTCCAGTGAGTAGTGCGGTTTTTGTTTCTCAAAGCCTACAGTGCGTTGAATCACTCTGCTGCTATATGAATGTTTTTTTAATACCTGGTTGGCTTGTTCGTTATTGCTCATAACTTGCGGTATTTGCTCACATGAATTGTTGTTGTTGTTATTTTTATTTATCATTTGAGGAAAGTTTTTGTCATAGTCTCGAATCTGATCATAGTTTTGTTGAAAGGAAAATTGCTTTAGAGCTTCCTTTCTGGCCAGTTTCTTAATGGCCATGATTTTATTTATGTCGCCTTCTTTGGCCCACACCTGACACTTGTTCCTCTCAAACGCATTGTGCCCATCACCTTGACATAAGATGCACTTGTTGGTATTGCAATTTTCGTTGCACGTGTTATTGCCACATTTCTTGCATCGCTTTTGTGACTTACAACGCGAGGCTGTATGACCCAAGCGACCACAGTTATAGCACTGCCTAATCGCAGGAATGTAATGGGTAACCTTTAGCGAGCAAATGTCATAAATTTGAACGGACGATGGAATTTCGGTACCCGCAAAAGCAATTTTAACTGTCTCGGTTGGGACGAACACAGATTCATTCATTTCGTTCTTTGTTTTCTTAAAAATTCTTTCAACTGTGTTTATCTTAATTATTGAATTAAGATTGTCCAGCAGTTTCATCTCTGAGATGTTTGTTGGAATACCCCTGATGACACCCACAGACTCAGTGAAATTTTTCGGAATAAATATATCGATGTTTAATTTTTTAAATTCGTCGTTTAGAACCATCTCATTGGCTTCATGAGGGCCAATGAAATAAAGTTTATAAAGAGTGGCAGCAAGAGGGGTTATGCGCTTGAGACCAACAAGATTGATGTGTCTAATTTTTTCAAATAAGTATAGGTCGCTTTTAATATTTTTGTTTTCAAACAAATTGCTTCTTTTGGTCGATAGAAGTACACTTGCCTCTCCTTTGAATGAGTGCTCATACAAATTAATCTCCCTTTGTTTTTTATCGTCTGTTTGCAAATTAAAACACCGGATCAGAGCACACCTTCTCCCGAGCAGGGTTGGTGTTAATCTCTTTGAGAGAACAGTGTGGAGACTTAGCAGCGCATACACGGCTAGCGACCATAACGCTATCATCTGCAGCATTGAGGCCCATACACAAGGGACAGCTCACCAACCAAGGGCGACCTCAATGCCAGAACCCTCAGGCCAGATATCTTCTTGTCAGTGCTGAGCATTCCTAAGGCCCTGGGAAACGCAAAGGACTGCGCAATCAACCTCATCGGCGCATTGACAACGGCATGTAGGGCAAGCACAGGGCAGCAAACAAGCCACTCTCGCCACCGCGAGCCGGTCTTTGGTGGAGTATGGAGATTTCCGAGGCTAGCAGCAAGTGCTAGGAGACGCTAGGAGGAGTGTAATTTTCTTTTTGTGGTAGAAACACCAAAACATTCCAGTAAAAATAAAAAAAAAATTTTAATTAATAACAAAAAACAGAAAACGTCGTTGTTTAATTCTGTCTCAGCCTACCATAAATATGTTCGAGGGAACTCACAATGTAAAGTATTTTTTAAAATTGATCCAGGTCCTTGCATCATTTCGTTCTTTAGTGAACTATTTTTACTTTTATTTTTAGTGATATTGCAGAAAAGCTGCTGGTATTGGAAGAATGGTCTTTATCGTCGGCTAACAGAGCGGGCTGCTTGTTAGTGGGTTACGAGGCATTCCGTACACTTGTCTTTTATCACTCATATAAATATCGAGGGAACGTGACTTCATCAAAATTAGAAAATGTTCGAGATAAAGTTCATAAATACCTATTGCAGCCTGGTAATTATTTATTTATAATGCATAAATTTAAAAATAATCATTATTTGTATCTTAACAGGTGCAGATTTAGTCGTTTGTGATGAAGGACATATTATTAAAAATAGCAAATCTGCCATAAGTCTTGCCGTATCAAAAATAAAAACGCCAAAACGTATAATACTAACCGGAACGCCTATACAAAATAATCTTAAAGAATGTAAGTTTTTCGTGATAACACTGTGCGACAAATGGTAAACTTTTGAATGTACTTTGTACGAGACAAATATTAGGTTATAGGCCAAGATGAGAAGATCACTTCCTCCAAATTATAAAAAAAAAATTCAAAACACGCAATTTGGTAACTGCTTGCACTCTTATAATTTTTACTCAAAACCTGTAGCGCGGATATCCAAAAAAAGTAATAGGCTGATAACAAAATTGTATTATCTTTTACATGAATTTTGATTCGAGGTGATAAAATGGGTATATCTGAATATATAGCGACTCAAAGTTGAAGTTTTGTACCATTTTTAATGTTTCTTTAACTTTAAAAAAAATTTTTTTTTTTTTTTAGACATGAAACTTTAGTGACATTTATTCTTAACAAAGTAAGCTACTAATAAATAAAATTGTCCAAAGAATACCAACGGTACGATTTTTTAAGAATAGGGGCTTATAATCCTGGAGAATATTGTTCAAAACAATGAAACCATTTTCAGACTCTTAAGTTTAAATTTGCATTATTAGGTCGACGTAAATTCAAATAGTAACTGCATATTATAGTCCATTACGAAAATGGTACCATATGACATCTCCAACGAGCTTTTCCAAAAGCCGAGTACGTATTTCAAATCATACAAGTTTTTTTACAATGTAATCAGTTTTGTTTCGCACGAACCGTTCAACCGTTCCTTCCTCTTCCTCGTCTCTACAGCTACAGACATCGTGGTACTTGTTGCCACATATTATCGGTTAGTCGCTTAAATTGCTTCTTTATAATAAGCTTACACGTGGCCATGGGCATAGAAATATTCTCCTTGTCTTGGATGAGGGGGATTGTAGTGCCAGATCTGGCCAGCTCATCCGCTATGCAGTTGCCTTCAATGTCCCGCTGACCCGGGACCCATAACAGACTTATAAAAAATTGCTGAGCCATCTCATATAGAGATTTTCGGAAGTTTGCTACGGTAGCCGAGTTCGATTTAATTGCATTAAGTGATTTGATCGCAGCTTGGCTGTCACTAGATATATTTAGATGAGTTGCGGTGACGGAAACTGGATGCAGTTCAGAGCTTCCCCGATCGCAGTGACTTCTGCCTGGAAGACACTGCAGTGGTCTGGAACTATGAAGGAGTGCCTTATGTTTAGTTGCTCGGAGTAGATACTCCTAAAACTTTATTTTCCAGCTTAGAGCCGTCTGTAAAGATTTGTATAGCTCCGTCTGAGCCAGGTGGTCCCTGTGTCTCTGTGAGGGATAATTATTTCAAAAGGAGTATCTGGATACTCCCTCGGAACGTAGTCGTCCGTTTTTGTGGGGACGATATTGTTTCCAATTAAGATGGATGAGTGACCAGTGTGCTGTGACACCCATTGGTCCGAGTCTCTTAGACGAATTGTAGCCATTTCTACCTGTTTCTTACCCGCTTCTTACCTGCTAGGTCAAAACTGTAAAGGCATAATATAGCATTTAGCCAAAGACAATATAAGTATAAGATGCGTAACGCCATACGAAATTTCTGCACACGAATTTTCGGGGCTGGCTCTAGAGCTGGCTCCAGGCTCTCTTGAAATTTTTTAGAGAGAGAGAGCGCTCTTGAGCCACGCTCATGCTACCATACGAGGCACACGAGGGTCGCCGTCGCGCCCCGTCGTCGCGACGCGAGTGTGCCCATACGCCAGCGCTGCGAAATACCCCACAGTAGAAGACCAACCCCAATTAAAAAACCATATATGTATATACCCCCAAACCGATACGATAATAATGATCGGATATACATATATAACGAGAAGGGTGGAGCGCCAAAGCGCGACCCTTACCCGTACTCAGTCGTATTTTTCATATGATTTTCAGAATTTAGAATTAAAAAAAAAATTTTACATATTACATTTTTTTGCTACATCTGTTATCTACATCTACATCTACAATGTATATTTTACATCTATCATGTAGATTATAGATGTACTATTCATATTCTACATCTTTTCCGCTAGGGGTTGCTCGCGCACTGAACGCGGCAGAGTGTGCGAGCGAGAAGGAAAATGAGTTTCGTTGTCGTTTGCGGGAGGGGGGGGCAGGGGAAGCAACTGAAAATTAATTTCGTCATTCTGGCTATAATTATGATCTGATCTAATTCAGATTCAGCAGTCTGGTAGATATGGGCATTCTCTACGATACTGCGCTTTTAGTTTTATCGTATCTTTAAAATTGTGCCTGCCACAGATTTTCGTCCTTTGTGGGGGCGAAAGGGGGCGGGGCGAAATTCTGAAATACACTTGTAGCAGTGGGATATCACATGAGTCTGGAAACCAAATTTGGTTGCCCTAGCTCTTATAGTTTCTGAGATCTAGGCGCTCATCGAGACAGACAGACAGACAGACAGACAGACAGACAGACGGACAGACAGACATGGCTATATCGACTCGGCTATTGATGCTGATCAAGAATATATATACTTTATGGGGTCGGAAACGTTTCCTTCTCTGCGTTACACACATCCACTTTTACCACAAATCTAATATACCCCTTAACTCTTTTTTGAGTACGGGTATAAAAATACATAATATATTTAATACATGAAATTCCATGAATCACATTGGAATAATTGCCATTAGGGTATTCAGGATGCGACGTATTCAACGCCGGTATATAATTTCGTTTCTCAACTCGTAAAAAGGTTTCCGTCTCGAAAATCGTCCGCTTAGCACAAGTACGCACACATACGTACTTGCTGTTCTGTGTGTACTTACACATGCAAGCGGGTTCTATTTTTAGATTCGCACGCTCTCAAATTTGTGCGAGCGAGATGGCGCGAATTTCGTCGCTGGCCGCAAAATTGTCTTGCATATGGCAATTGAAATGTATGAGCGTTACGCATCTTATACTTATATTGTCTTTGATTTAGCGCATCATTTTGGGGTAGTGTGGACAGCTCTACTGATTTATAGGGCGACAGTTCGCTGTACCTTTTCTAAATGTTAGGTGATGGTCCTTTTAGTGCATTCCACCACACCGTGAATCCGAAGAGTAATATTGGTCTAACTATTGCTAGATATATCCATTGGACTATGCTTGGGTTCATGCCCAAAACTTTTTGCAAGTGTAGAGGGCAAGGTTAGGTTAAGGCGGTAGTTGGTGAGAGGGGGAAATCCCCCCACCACAACTCATTTGGTCCTGCTACAGGACCGTTGTGATGACGCATGGGTGTGTCCCCCTTCTCCCCAACACCGTGGTGAGCAATCTGATTGCGGAGTTAAGGGCAGTACCATCGGGTGGCTTGGATGTATTTGGACAATATCCCTGGTCTGATTTCGGACAGGGCCAAAATGTCGGTGAGTAAGGGAGCCCCAAGAAGCCGTAGCCTACGGTTTCCCAGGGACGGACAGTGACAGAAAAAGTGGTGGACCGACTCCCCCTCCTGCTCGTCCCTGCAGCTTCTACAGAAGTCGTTATGAGGGATTGACAGTCTGGCAGCGTGTTTACTGATCTGCCAGTGTCCCGTGTTGGGTCGGATGACGGTAGAGCACTGTACTCTGCTGAGTTTGTAGAGCTCTTCCGAGCGTTTCTTCGATCGACTTGGCCAGATCGACCTGGAAGTTTTACAGGTGATGGTTTGCTGCCATCGTCTGTCGGCCATTAGCTCGAAGGCTTCGTGCGTTAGAAGCCTACACGTAGCAAAGGCATCGCTACCTGCTTCTTGGTAGTACCTTGCCTGGCTGGTTCGTCGGCAGCATCATTCCCGTGGATATCCCTGTGTCCGGGGACCCCTATTAGGGAGAGATCTAAATGTTCTGCGGTCTCATTAAGAGACCTACGGCATATGTTGACAGTCGTTGAGTTCGACGATATTGAGCCAAGTGCTCTGAGAGCTGCTTGGCTGTCTGAGAAGACACACACTGAGTGTCTGTCTAAAGAAAGTTTGGAGACGATAGAAATAGCCTCGTTTATTGCTTCAACCTCCGCTTGGAACACACTACAGTGATCCGGGAGTCTGAAACAATGACTTATGTTGAGCTCGTTACAGTAGACGCCACCACCCACACGGCCGTCTAACTTTGAGCCATCAGTGTATATGTGGATCGCATTTGCGGTTCCAGGTTCGCCCCTTTCCAAGTCCTCCCTGAGTGGGATTGATACCTGGAAGGGCGTCGAGAGGGGCATCGTCCCAACAAGGAAAATTATCCACCGGAAATATGGTTCATCAGAGTCCCAATTGTTTTAATCAGCGAAGAGTGCTGTTGAAAAGATACCCGTTCTGCCAGTCTATTCTGAATTTCTGAATAATAACGGGAGAGTACAATCGGGGTCTGTTTCATAAATCAATTTTCGTTTTTGAACTGCAAATGTACACACGTATAGAAATCTGAGCTGTGTACTATGCATTGATATCCCTGTATTTTTTAGTTGTGTACGTAAAGGTGTACTTAAAACAAACAAACAAAAAAAATATATATTTTGTCTGAGAGTAATATGTTTTAGTATTTAATATATTTCTGGTTCTTTTATAAATTTCCCATTAAACCTACCTCCCTATAATTCTAACATCGTCTTATAACAGTAAATTTATCGAAAGAAAATACAACAATTTTGAAAATTTATATAAAATTGATCAGATTTTCTAATGCACAGAGGCGTAGCTAGGTAGCAAAGGGTCCCGGTGCAAAAAAATTGGAATCAAATAATTTATTATAAACAGGGTTTTGTGTGCGCTTTATGGATTAAAAGTATTGGTATTAGGTGGTAAATCAAATTCTTTATTAGAAAATGTATGTGTTCAAAAAACTTTATTGTACTTTGCACATTTCTTGCCTTACCTTTCGCAAAATTACAACACTCGACAAAATTTAACTATTTATTTACGCTTCGAATAAAACCGACTTTTTCTGCGAGATTATTTTTATATTTTTAATTATGTTTTTTGTTTTCTTTTGTGTATAGGTGCATTAATTGGGCGTCGTTTAAAGTATTGTTCATAAAATTCAATTAAATTCAATAAAATT